TTTTTTTTTAAATCAAATTGCATATGCATTTACCATTTAGTAAAAAGTCGTCATTTTGACGTTACAAATACACCCTTAAAATTTTATTTATAATTAAATACTTAAAGAACTTAGCTACCTAAACGAGATCAGAATTATGAATATGTTTAAACATTAACGTTAGTCATGTCGTGCAGTTGTATTTCTTAATAATGTCATTCGTCACAAAAAACTTGTTTTATTATAGTAGATGGCCTTACTAAAAGTCAATGCAAGGTAATAAAATTGACATTAGTTCCTAGTTCTTTACTCGGAAGCAAAAATATCTGGTACGTAATTCGGAATACCAATAACATAAATTAAAAAAGATTAAAAACCTATCAACTTAAAAACTTTATCTAATCTTCTAACGACTAAACAGATTTTCTTGAATCATAGCTAAGAACACTCCTGATCAAGTTACCTTACAACTAAATCAAAATCGGTTCTTCCCTTCGAGCGTTACAGACACTTCACACATACACACACGTTAAACTAATAACACCCCACTGTTTTCGTAGGTGGTTAAAAATAAAATTTATTTCTATATTGTATCATGCCTATACAGCCTATCAAAAGCTACTGCCGAAGTCTGTGTCTTGGTCTTCCATGCATAGAGGGGATATTTGCCATGGTTGACACGCTTGACAGGTCATCATCATGATCATTACAGCCCTTCAAAAGTCCACTGCTGAACATAGGCCTCCCCCAAAGAATGCCACAAAGCACGGTCCTGAGCCACCTGCATCCATCGACTTCCTGCATGTCTCACCAGGTCGTCACTCCATCTAGTGGGGGGTCGCCCTACACTTCGCCTACCGGTACGAGGCTGTCACTCGAGAACCTTTCTTCGCCATCGGTTGTCGGTTCTTCGAGCTATTTGGCCGGCCCACTGCCACTTCAGCTTATTAATCCGGTGGGCTATGTCGGTTACTCTGGTTCTACTGCGGATATCCTCATTTCTAAGTTTATCACGCAGAGACACCCCGAGCATAGCCCTCTCCATAGCTCGCTGAGCGACCTTGAGCTTCCTCATACGGCCAGCAGTGAAGGACCACGTCTCAGATCCGTAAGTCATCACTGGCAACACGCACTGGTTGTACAATTTCGTTTTCAGGTTTTGAGGTATGTCTAACGAGAAGATGTATCGTAGTTTCCCGAACGCTGCCCAGCCGAGTTGAATCCGTGGATTGACCTCTCGGTCGAAGTTGGACTTACCTAGTCGGACTATTTGTCTCAGGTAAACATACTCGTCAACAACTTCGAGTTTAGTGCTCCCAACAACTACCGGCATAGGTGTGACATGGACGTTAAACATGATTTTTGTTTTGTCCATGTTCATCTTAAAACCTATCCGTTGAGAGACACTATTGAGGTCATTGAGCATAGTGCTTAGGTCCTCCAGCGATCCTGCCATAAGTACTACATCGTCGGCAAATCGAAGGTGAGTGATGTACTCGCCATTGATGTTAATACCGTATCGTTTCCAGTCTAGAAGCTTGAAAACGTCTTCCAATGCAGCGGTAAAGAGTTTCGGGGATATGACGTCACCCTGTCTTACACCTCTCTGCAATCGGATAGGTTTCGTACTCTGGTTCTGTACTCTGATAGCCATCGTAGCCCTACTGTACAAGCACTTCAATACTTCGATATACCGACAGTCAACTTGGCACCGCTGAAGGGGCTGCAGCACTGCCCAAATTTCGACGGAATCAAAGGCTTTCTCATAGTCCACATACGCCAGACATAGTAGCAAATTGTACCCCTCGGACTTCTGTACAATTTGCCGAAGGGAATGTATGTGGTCTATGGTGCTAAAGGCTTTTCGGAAACCGACTTGTTCGGGAGGCTGGAAGTCGTCAAGTCTGCGTGCGAAACGATTCGTAATGACTCTCGAAAACAGCACGTAGACGCGGCTCAGAAGGGAAATTGGTCTGTAGTTCTTCAAGAGAGCGTTGTCGCCTTTCTTGAAGAACAAGACCACCGCACTTCTGGTCCACGCCTCCGGAGTAGTGCCACCATGGAGGACGGAATTAAAAAGCTTCTGAAGGACTTCAAGTACCGGTTTTCCACTCGCTTTCAAAAGCTCCGCTGTAATTCCATCCTCGCCCGGGGACTTGTCGTTTTTAAGATGCTGGAGAGCCAGTCTAATCTCGCTCAGACTGACGTCCGGGATATCTTCGGAATAGTGTCGGATAAGACTCGCTCTTGGATCGTTACTCACACTTGCGTGTGGCTCCAACGATGACGTGTACAGCTGCCCATAGAACCTCTCAATCTCACTCAAAATCTCAGGTGTCCTGGAAACGATGCTGCCACACTCGGTCTTCAGCTGTCAACAGTTAGCTCTTTCTGGCAGACATATCTCTGGCAATGACTTTGGAGCCTTGGATCTGCTCGATCGCTTCTTCAATACAAGCTGTATTGAAGTTGCGTAAGTCCCAAAGTAATAATAGTTCTTGACATATTTTTTCATTTTTAATAAACCTAACGTAAGCAGCAACACTGCTTCAAGTGGTAAGTTCAAGTGGCAGTAAAGTGGATTCATCCAACTGAATTGAGAATTGTACTAGTCTTCAGATGATTTCACAATGACTCTTCAATGTTTTCAGCCATTTCATCAATTCGTCTTTGTACAGAACTATTGCTCAAAAGAATTTTTCGAATTATGTCTGCCGCCGGTTTATGGAGCACAGTACTTAACTTCTTTTATTACCAGCAAAATTAACGATTCTCCGATGGTGTGGGGATTACCTGTTTGAGAAATTAACAAAGAGATATTTTATGAGGCTCGAAATCCGTTGTTACACTTGGCTGAGCATTATGCTTCTTTTTCAGGTCTTCAGAATAGGCTACATTTTTATCGTTCTCATCTGCATGCATTTTATTCAAATGATCTTGAAGTCTTGAAGGCAGAAATACTGTATAGACTGTAGCACTCGCCTTGTATCAATTTGTCTACGCTCGCGTTGGCTGAGGCTTGGCCAACATGTATTGCCGGGGTCAAACTGAATAGTTTTTGAACGGTTTTAATCCTAGATTTTGGTAATTGCATTTTATGTTTGTTTCGTGTACAGCGTTTATGTGATTTAGTTTTATAATTAATTTGTGTGTGTATGGAATCTGAGAGAATTTTTTCTGATTAGTATGCACGTTTTGTCTTTGTATAATTGACTTATGGATAATATATCAGTTTTTTTATAGTTCTTTAGTCGGAAAGCAGTACGTAGTCAAGTTGGAATAAAAAATTTTAACAATTTTATTATATTAGTTTTAGATGCACGTTCTCATATCTCTATTAAATATTCTAATGATGATATAATTATTTATTATTATTTATAATACTATTTAGCGGTAGAAACATTTGTATATTTGTATACGTGGTAGAGTCATGCTGCAGCTATAGTAGTAGTATAGTTGTAGCACGAATGGGTCGGCTCGACCGGGGAAGGGCCACGCTCTCACAGAATACCAGCGTAAAATAGCAGCATAACGCTGCTGTGTTTCGTATAGTGAGTGTAGAGAACCGGAGACCCTTTTTTACTAGAAACGAGGCATTCCATCTTAGTCCTCACGGGTGACAACGCATCTGCATTTTGATTCGTAATCGAGGATGGATGTGGATGTTTATGAGCCGCAGCAACCGCTTACCATCAGGTGGACTATGTGCTCTGTTGTCACTCTTATTCTATAAAAAAAAATCGACACGATTGAAGAAAAATCAGGCGCAGGACCAACAGCTTAAAACGCCTTCCGAGGCACGGTGATGAAACACGGCCAACTTCCTGACCTAATAATTTTTTGCTCCGACCCGGTATACACATACAACGATTACACCAACGAGACAATCATTATTAATATATTTATTACTATAGTACGTGAGGGTAATATGGTCATCCGGTTAATATGGTCACTTTCCTATAAGTCAAAAACTACAGCATTATTTGTGTAGATGGTTTTGTGATACGATAGCTCTTCATCAGTCAATCAAATAATAAAGTTTCCAAAGGGCGCTGCTTCATTGACGCCATTTTGACAGTTGACATTATAGTATATATTTTAGTACTGTATATTGTAGTTACTTTTTTTTATGTTGATTTTTCGAGATGTTCCTAATTATTGCAAAAGCTTGTTTACTATTTATTTCTTAACAAATTAGTTATAGTATACGACTTTGTGTTTTTGTCTCTGTCATACTCCTAGTTTTGGTTTTATAGGGCGGCAAAGCCATAATATGACCATATTACCCTTACGTACCTTATTTATTATTAACATCATAGTTAAGCTGTCATAGTCCACGCCAGAACGTTGGTCTGTAGTTTAGTATGGGAATAAGTAGATGTAAGCGCGAATATAATTAAATAGAATAGAATAATTTTAATGAATATAGATCACATGTATGTAATTATTATTGAAAGGCTTTTTTTACTTTACCACTGGTACGGAAAAACACACACTTCCTTAAGTAATATACTGGACTGAAAACCAATGCCAAAGTCCGGTCCTTTTCGCTGTTTCGTGCTTCAGCACAGGGTTTTTAGGGTTCGAACGGGCAGACACGTGAGGGCAGACGTCGTTGTCATTCTGGCGCGGAGCAAATTTTTCGATGCATTAATTATAATGTTTACTTATCATTAACTTAATTTTAAAAAAATACACTATTATTAAAACATCGTTCAAAGTTACAACGAACTACAAGAACTTTTATATTATGTTATTTGCTGCTACGGAATCCATCATGGGCTAGTTCAACTCGCACTTGGCCGTTTTTTAAGTGTATTTTCTTAAAATAATGTTGATCAATTATATTTAATTTAGTTTTAGGTATCTTTTTGCTTGTGATTACTTTTTACTTGTTGTGCTGCATGCTTAAATAAACAAAATAAACGCATTTCTTTCTTTCTTATAGAAAATAGTTGACTCTCAAACTATTATGTAATAATTAATAAAAAAAAACTTTTGTTTACAGATAAAGCAAAGTAATGCTACCAAGAAAGAAAAACATGAGGGCGATTGTGTTTGCCGTAATTCTACTTGTACAATATTCCGAGCAGCACGGTTCGGGAGCACCACCTGGGGTAAGACTTTATAGCATATTGTAAGAAACTATTCCACTTCTGATGTTAAAAATTATTCTCAAAATTATTTAAATAAAAGAACACTACACGGTAACAAACCCTGCTTACTATCAGGGCCCAATTACATGATAACACCAAAGTATGCAAACCAACAGCATCACTACCCATCTCAATGTAGAAGTGGGCGCCGCCTTAAAATTTGTCGGCGGCGGCGTGCTGTCAAATTTCAGTCGGCGGCGGCGTAGCGCCGGCGGCGTGGTTCCCTGTATTTTTATAAAACACGCAATCTACTCCCCTTCACCTAGTTGGATTAAATCTCAACACGCTGCTTATTGCCATTTCAGGTGGACGACAGGAAAATGTCTATTACATACCTTGTCTAGATTAAGTACAAAAAAAAATGTTACAAATGAACGCTTACTTTACCCTCATAAACAGTTTTTTAACATACATATGTCATTATTATCCATCTTACATATTTTATAATTATCATGAATGAATATATTTTTTTTTTACCCGAATAGAGCTCAAGTGAGATCTTTTCGCCGTAACGGTTAACCCGGCTACCAAGAATACCCTCTCACTTGGAGTGCTTGTGGCAGGCACACAGAGTAGAGCTTTAGCAAGAGCAGCAATATAAGGAAATACTTTTTTTACTGTTCCAAAAGTTAAAGAATCACCATCTTTTGGTTCTGTAGAATCAGCACCAGCAATGTAACGCCAACATTCTTGCTCTATTGGATTACCTTGAATCCCTTGGCATGTACTAACACTATGTTTCCTCGACAGTTTATGCAAGAATGATGTGTCGGTTACATTGCTGGTGCTTGTATTGCCTGCATTTTCGGCTAAAGCTTCTGGCTCGTTATTAATATTTATAACTTCTCTGATGTAGGAGGAAAGGAAGGTCGTTCTGGCCATATTCTGGTTTTCTAGATTTCTGTCGGACTCATAAAGCGGTTATCCAACAGTGCTGCTGCGACAATGGGCTTTGTTACTGGGAAACCTTTGCTCATTTTTTTCATCATGTTGCTTTTTAAGCGTAACATTATTAGTGCATCATCTTGACTGAGCTTTAATACGTCCATAATCTCAGAACTAAACACCAGAGCAACATTCATTGTACATGTTTTCTGAGACGACAAGATTTCGACGGCTTCGCGAAAGCTTCTCAAAAACTTTACTAAATCTTCTAAAAGAATCCACTCACTTTGAGTTATTCTAAGTTCTTCTTGGCCAATCTTCCTCAACATATTATTTATTGGTTCTCAGTTGCATATGTGGATTACCCTTTCTAGCATTTCTAAAATGCTGTGCCAACGAGCTGGGGTTGCGGTTTTGATTGTTTGAATATGTTTGTAATTTTCGGGTCCTGATCCTGATGGTAAAGCCCTGTCTTCAATTTCGGTTTCTTCGGCATTTTCCAGCATTAGATCAACTTCAGGAACAGGGTTGCTCTCGTCACTTTCTAAGGTTTCAACAACGCCTTCTATTTTCTCCAAAAGCTCTAGCTGTTGCTGTACCTTTTCGGCTTCAGCCTTCTCTCACAGCCTTGACGACTTTTTTGCATTTCTGAACTAGTAGTGCAATTTCTGGAACGGAGTTTATGCCGTCGACTGTCACCAGATTGTGAAGCCTATGACCTAGACATAGATGGTGAGTCAAATTAGCGATCCCAACTGCTCGTTTCACATTACTTCCAGCATCAGTGACTGCAACAATCGCTTTGCCGTCCAATATAAATCTCTTCTTTATGTCCTCAATAACATCGTTAATTTTTAGTTAAGTTAAATCAAAATTCACTAAAACAAACGAACGTCTTTACGCCACTCACGCCGCGCGGGGAATCAAGCGCACGCCGTGTCACCCCGCACGGCGGCGGCGGCGGCGTGCGGGGGTGACACGGCGGCGGCGCGCCGGCGCGGCGCCCACATCTATCTCAATGTAACACAGGGCAGTCTCTCAGCAACACGACCTTCATTTCTTACACTAGTAGAATACCCCAACGTGCATAGTAACGACAGTGAGACTCGTAGAATTACAAACTAATACCTCTTAGTCGCCTGTGCGATACTTTATACTGCTAAAACAAGTGGGAGATTACCATTCTAACTTCATTTGTTCGCATTTCCTTTTAGTTTTTTACCCTCATTCCCAACAATATATTAACATACTGAGTACTTAGTTTCTTTTATATAAGTACTAGCGATCGGCCCCGTCTTCGCACGGGTGACTTCTGGATCTTGACAGCAACGCAACCTACCGGATCCAATTGTGAATATAAACCATCCAGGGACCCACCAAAACACACATAAAAAACTTCATCAAAATCGGTAGTCATTTTCGAGTTTTTGCGAGACTACCGCATGGCAATTTGTTTTAATATTTAAAGAAGATAGAAGATCAACTGATGGTAATTTCACGATGGTACTACTCTGTGAGAACGTGGTCCTTTCCTGGTCGAGCCGACCCATTAGTGCTTCAGCTATAAAACAGTTGCAATGTGTACCACAAATAAACATGCTTCCATTATCATCATTTCCCATTCCCTGTCACGTGACACACATATGGGTCATTGTTATTGTCTTTCTATTGTGTCTGCAAATTAAACAGTGAAAGTGTGATCATCATCATATAACGCCTCACAAGTCCACCGCTGAACATAGGCCTCCCCATAGAATGCCAAAAAACACGGTGCACCATTTATCAGAATATAGGTACAGATGGACGATGATGATGATAATATTCGTATATATTAATTAATCATCATCATCACAGTCTTTCACAAGTCAAGCAAAACAAAGACAAAGACAAAAGACGGTCCTGAGCCGCCTCCATCCATTGACTTCCTGCATATCTTCCATCCACTCCATATAGTCGAGAGCTACACTTCGCTTATCAGTGCGAGGCGGTGGTTACCCTGGTGCAGTAACCAACAAAGCCTAACGGCGGATATCCTCATTTAATGTATATACAATAGAGATTCTATTTCAGGCATGTGTTGATCAAATGCCGCGCCATTCAGGCATACAAGCACAAACCTCGGTGCCGCCCTACGCCATTACTACTTCGGCCTCGCAAGTGCGGCAAGGTGATATCCTGAACGTCACCATCGGAAGCCCATTCGGAGCGCCTGTACCTATTGGTGGATTCATTTTACAAGCTAGACAAGTTCAGGTAAGAGTTATATAAAAGTAAAGTTAGAGCGTATATATATCCCGTAGCTGTATAAAAATTAGTGTATATACGTCCCACTGCTGGGCACAGGCCTTTTCCCATTTTAAGAAGGTCATGGAGCAATTTGTCCACCATTGCATGTCAGCGGAATTCACATGTCCTTAAAATATTTTTTAAAACGTTACTTCCACACTAAGATATTCTCCTATATCGTGGGGATAGTCACATACATAAATTTCACAAAGACAAACATCTAAACCCGGAACAATTATTTTTAGGCCATACAAATACTTGTTCCGTGCGGGATTCGAACCCATGGCCCTTAGCACTATAACTAATTGCTAAGCCTCATTTTGTGTTTTGTCCTCAGATATGCATATTTACTCACGATGTTTTCCTTCATTATGTAAAATTTACTTCCTTCATACTGAGCTATTACGACTACTGCCAACGAATAATTTTAAAGTATTATTGTTAACCGTTTGGTCTGAATAATGCACTAAATAGCTTCCAAGACACAGATACTACCATTATTTTAAATTAGTTAAATCTCCTCTACCAAAGTTTTGTCTAGTAGAGACCGCTGTCCGATTAGGCCGATTAATTTTGACAGACTTAGTACGTCATATTATCTTTATTCTGAGCTGTAGTAGCCCAGGTAGCAGGAGTAAGAAATACCACGGCTCAGAAGAAATTATTATTAAAATTTATAATTAAACTTCTTTGTTACTAAAGCCCGCTGATTAACGACTTGCACAGGGTTATTTTGCAATAACCGGCCAAATTTGCAGAGAAGGTTCAGAATAATTTAAAAAATAAAAAAAATATTAATTTCAAAAAATCTAATACATTCTGTACTTTTTATCTTTTAAAGCCAAAATGCGTGGTAATACATTATTTTAACTGATTTTACTGCGCTTTTCAAATAAAAGTAGATAGATCGTATTTTCAAAAATTGCAGTAACGGTATATCATTATTTATATATTTTAACTTAAGTTTAGAATTTGTCTACTCTTTGAAAAACAACCCTGTATATTACGTTAATAAAGTATTTTAAATACTTGGATTACAAAGTGACATCTCCAAGATAGTAGGATTTCTTTTCTACCACGGAGTCCATCTGGAGTGGTACCTAACTACCTGTTTCTTTTGTCTTCCGGTGTAAAGAATGTTATACTTCTAACCAGTCATAATCCTCACTAGGAAAGGAACCAAGTCTTCTAACCAGATAGACTACTTAACAAAAAAGGAAAAACAATAGAATAAAGTATGTAGTTGTAGTTTTTGAAATGAATACTTCTTTAGTTGCATTGAGCGATTTTGGTAGGGGAAAATCTTATGGGTTCACGTCAACGATGACCTTGACATGATCGTGAAGTATTACGCGCAAGCTGAAATCTTTATACTAGTGTGTTTACTACGCGTCGCGTAGTATAGCGGCCTGTGTACATGTACCTATACGCATAAATCATTGAGTTTTGACTTCTGTTGGCAGTCCTTATGGCTGCCTTTCTTTTTTTTAAATAATTAAATAAATAGTGTGTTTATTTCTATAATCTTGTTAACAACATATTGCTGAGACTTCCAAGTTGTAGCACAGATTAAATAATGTTACTACGTAAGTTATAGTGCGTCAAGCCGTGCTAATTGGTCCGTCACGTCCTCAATTTTAAGACGAGACATTTAATTTAAACTTCATTTAGCATTCTATTTGATTTTACTGATTATTTGTATTTAATTTTTTTTTTTTTTACTTATCATAAGCCAGTGCTTAATCACGATCCCACCTGGTGATGCAGCCTTAGATGGTAAATCGCACTGTCTTAGCGTAACAAAAGCCTTTAGCATAAAATTGTTGTCTTGACGACGCCCAGATTGTATTTGGACGAAAAGATAGACGCCGGCCATGGACGATGACACCGGCAAATTATCCAATCCTTTGCTGTACGCATTACAAAAGACGAACAATTTTGATATATTTGTTATAATTTTTTTATATTTTTAATTATATATAAAAAATACGTTAGTAGCATAAATATGAGAAATGTCAATCTTATTTCTAAGAGGAATAAGGCAGCATGAAACAATATACTACACTGAATACCTTGTTCTTGAAAAATACTTTGTTCCTTAGACATGTAAGTTTCCTACGATGTTTTCATTCTCTTGATCAGGTCGAACTGAAGATGTTGGTGTATTATGAGATTTAAACATCGATCACTAATAAAAAAACTAGATACACAATCCCATGCAAAAGTTCTCTAAAAACTGTCGCTAGTTGTTTTGACGTAATTCTAGTTGAAATAAATATACATTAATGTAAATTCAACTTTAAATGCATTGCCTAAAGTTGTATTCACAAAGCTACGTACAAATTAAAAGCAAATGTTCGAGTGGGCGCTCATTCGGTAAGGACATTTTTGCCATTGATAGTATATCTAGTTTTTTAATAGTGATTGATAGATGAATTAAAGCGATAAATACCACGATACAAACAACATGTTTTTAATCAACCTTTAAAATAAATTCTTAAATTTACAAAATGCATCCAATCAATCTTAACCTTACAGAACCCGGATACAATAGAGGGCATATTCGTGAAAGTCCCCAACACAGGAATTGCGCAGATAACCAACTGTCGTGGAAACAATGACACTGTGACCCACACCTCACCGGAGGAGAAGCAGCCACTTACGTTCCAATGGAAAGCGCCTAATGATTTATTGGGAGGAATATCCTTCAGGTAAGAAAAGTCAACTATGCCAAGTGTGTTCTAGCGTTAAAAGAGCTGCTTGATACATCCCGTGGTTATAATTAAAGTCGATTGAAAAATATGCTAAATAGTTAGTTAGTTAACGACGGGCTGTTTTTCGCAACTCCACGTCTAAGCGCCTATTTTATTTATTCGAGCCATGAGATCTCCCCGAAGAAGTTCAACAGCGCTCTGATATTACAAGCAACTTCGGGGACTCCCGGCGTGCCGAGATGTTTACCACAGAGTACCTTTGCATAAACCGATGTTTAGCCCTGTATGCAGCGACTTCCGGTGCCGTGCCGTGTAGTGCCGGACTTCGGGCACTAGTTACTATTCTGGTCTGCGGCTTGTTCGAGACTGAACCTTGGTTAAACGAATGTTTATTTCAGGCAGGGCCTCCCTAGCTTGTCTACAGTCCACTAGATTTTTCCAAAGTTAAGCGTGTTGATTAGTGAAGTGTCTACGTACCAGTGAACGAACGTTACCAAAGGGGATTGGTATGATTTTATTAACATACCTCATTTATTCGTTGATGGCATTCATATATTAGTCCCGAGTGAGAGCAAGTACAACGTAGCGTTACCACGAGAATGTCACGTGTTAACGCTACGCTGCAGCTATATTATGATTGTAGCACGTATGGGTCGGCGCGATCGGGGTAGGACCACGCCCTGACAGAACACCAGCCTAAAATAGCAGCTTGTGCTGTGTTTCGTATGGTAGACTTTTGATAGACTGTAAAGGTAACTGATGAAATAATTTATTTCCTCCTTCTAATTTAATACTTGCCATAAACTGCCACGTTTTTCAATCCATAGCTTTAAAATTTAATCATAGCATAAAATGTAATATATATATATATATATATATATATATATATATATATTTTGTTTGTTTGTTTGTATTTTATGCGCTGCCATACCGTTCATCAGAATGCGGTAAAACTTTGTCAACTTATTGCTGGCACCCAACCCGCTAGTGTTAAACGTAGCCCACCTACGCTCCGACTCCGTACGTTACAGAAACCCTCTGGAGGCCCCGAAACGTTTTAATCGACCCCACTGTTCCGCTAGATTTCGGCGACCGAAATGTCGCCGGCCTGTCACACACAAACACTACACAATCACCTAGTGCCACAAATACTATTGGACAACAACGGATTGGACGCAGCGAGTACACAGACGGGCGAACCGCACACCCCTCCACACCGCGTACACAGTGTACAGACGCGTCCCGGGGCGGTTCTCACATGGTTCTCACCGCCCAGAACATCGAACGATACGAGTTAGCCGCCAGAGCTGTGGCCCGTTATGTTAATGTGATCACAGAACTGAACACAATATTATCCCCTCCAAGATTATCGATTTTAGTGCAATGTTGCAGACGCAACGTTACACTAAAATAAATAATCTCCTCCATTATTTTAGCTGAGTGTAAAGCTTCGAGTTGAGTCCGATGAAGCTGTAAGAGCCGCATAGGCTAACAGCATTAACATCACAGAATCTAGACTTATTGCTGGCACTTGTGCGGAGGTCATAGGCATAGTACAATTAAATTATAGTAGGTGGCGCGCGTATCGAACCAACAAATTCGTTTGAAAGTCATATATCATTCAACTTCAATTATTGTATTATCATTCATATTTAAACAATATAACTCTTCCCATTTTAAAACGATATTTACACAATTGTTTCTGCCGGGTACAAGCCTGTACAAAGAAAATTAAGAATTACAGTTGTGCGAATAAAATCATTCAATTGTTTCACTTTTATATTTTATTCGAGAGATAACACTTACATGCCGATTGAAAAATCGGCCTTTATTCTGTTTAACTTTTTATAAGGTTGTAGTTGCAAGAAGCTGCCAGTTATCAAGTGGTTACTATCAGTGGAACAAATGTTATTCAATTGATGACAATTATAGGAAACTTATTGTGTGCTTAGACAATACATTTGTTTTCAATTGCGGAAGAGATCAAGATAGTTTATAAGAACTCGTACATACCAGATTAAATACGTCATATAGCGTTGCTTATTATATTGTTTTTTTTTTAATCTGCTATTACCATACAATAGTTAATATTACAGGCTGTATTTTAATTTTCATTTATATAGCACCCTGAGTTGCTCATTATAAATAATCTAAATTCATTATTTTACTATGTCGGTTAAATTTAAAAACATGAAACAAATTTCAAAAATCACTATTTAACTCATCATTCATACTTACGTTGTTTTTATTCGTAGCAGGTTTTTGTTCATATCAGTTTTATAGTGATACGCAACCCATATGGCAATTAAAGTTAAAATTACAAGCCTTAAAAATAGCACCTAGAAACAACAACAGCCAACAAGAAATCTTTCTTTTGAAATCAAAGACAAAAAATTCTTCTCTTCTTTTGATCCCACTATCCACGTAATCGTAAACGTGTAGTGGCGGTGTAAGAATACCTACGATCCTATATCATCCCGTGGTTTTCGTAAGAGGCGACAGAGGAAAACTGAACAAGGAGATGGGCAGCAGCATTTTCCTGATAACAGCTGAATAAAAATAAAAAAAGTCACAGAACACTCGGTTGGAACGAAGTTCCTTTCGTAGTACATTATTACAGATAAACGTATTATATTAATAATTTATTATGCTTTATTTTAATAGACGCTAGTAGCGTTTATTAAAATAATGCGTCATTTAAAATAAAATAATATTTCTTTTATGGCAAGATAAGAGATAGTGCGAGGGAGATGGATATTATTCCATATATATATAGGCGCCTTATAGCCGCCAAGGCCGTCTACATTACGTCAAAAGAGGTCACGAGGGAAAATTTTACTCTTTTTCTCGCCTGCCTTCTCCGCCAGATTCGCACCGTCCGATAAGGAACTTCGTTCTAAAAAAAATGCGGTTTGCGGTTGCCAACCCAGAAGCAATATTCAGAAGTGAAGGAGAGGTCTATGTTCAGCAGTGGACTTTTGATAGGCTTTAATGAAATACATGAAAGTCCAGCATATAAAGAGGAGAAGAGGCCTCATAAATATATAGTTCTTAAATGCAATTATATTGTTTGAACTCTAATGGCGCGATTCCTGTAGCAGATACAAAGAATGTTGCCTGCATTTTGTCGTCACGAGCACACAGTGCACCTGATGGTAAGTGGATACTTTGGCCCATAGACATTTATACACATTTACCCTCAATTAAGAATCAAAAAGCAGATGCGTTGTCACCCCTAAGGACTAAGATGGAAAGGCTTATTACAATAAATAATTAAAGATTAAAAATTTTGTACAACCGACTTGAATATAAATTATTAAGAATAACTCAAAAACTATTGGTCTCACCTTGATAAAATTTATCACATGTAAAGAGCACCAACTTTCAAATAAAAAGAATCATCGAAATCGGTACAGCCAGAAAAAAATTTGTGGTAACACACATAGAAAAACATAATTGAGTACCTCCTGCTGTTTGAAGTTGGTAGAAAAGGGTATCTGGTTCTCTACACTCACCATACGAAACACAGCAGCGTTAAGCTGATACTTTACGCTGGTATTCTTTGAGAGCGTTGTCCTACCTCAGTCGAGCCAACCCATTAGTGCTTTAACGATGATATAGATGGGTCATTGTCAAAACAAGTAATGAATATGTTCCGTATTAAAAATTATCACTAAAAATATTTAAAAGTGTGCCTTAAATTAAAATATTTTTCATTCTCAACCTTTACTTCAACTTAGAAGTAAAGATCAAGCAATAAAAGAAAATAATTATGTGAAATCACTTTGATTTACAGACATCAGTCCCCTTCGGTGGTCCGTTCAGAATTAACGCACACAAATATTGCACTTTCTATTTTCGAAATCACAATAAATTATAATTAATCTATACAAATAAATAAAATTGAAGTGTCTGTTTGTAATGTCAAAATTACAGTTTTTTACTAAATGCATATGAAAGTAAATACGGTACCTATAACTAAAATACAATTTTTAAAATTTTTGTCTGTCTGTCTGTCTGTCTGTCTGTCTGTCTGTCTGTTTGTTCCGGGTAATCTCCGAAACGGCTGGACCGATTTTGACGGGACTTTCACTGGCAGATAGCTGATTTCATAAGGGGTAACTTAGGCTACTTTTATTTTAGAAAAAGAATTAGGGTTTCACGCAATAACATAAAAACCCTAACACGCGAACGAAGTCGCGGGGAACAGCTAGTTATACTAATATTGTTTAATTAGTAGTTATCAAGAGGTGATTTAAAATATAATTAAATAAAAAATATAGTTCCTAAAAAAATTATCAGCGATTGTCATGTGTTACAGCACCAATGTGTCTTTTCGGTGGTCAAGAAATGCGCAGATTAATTGGAGCATAATAAATTTTTACGAACGCAGCTAAAACTTTACACACCATCATTAATTTTCGAACGCATCCCGGTAGCCATCTTTTGATTGTGACTGGGGTGAGAGTGAAACCCGTGTCCTATTTACCAATAATTGTATTTTGGTCAAACCTCAACGTATCTTTTCGGTTACGCTTTTAAATTGGTAATTTTTTATTAATTTTCTCAAATAAGTATTTGGCCTGTTGGGTATCAAGGACTTAATCACAAATGGCTTAAATTTGTTTTCCTAACCTCAAAATTTTGTTCAGCACTTACGTTTTGTTCGAAAATGTCCATTCGGTGGTCATCTTTTCGGTGGCCCTTGTGACCACCGAAAAGACAACTCGTCACCGAAAAGACATTTATAAAAGATTCGGTTTTACAGCATGTGTTTTATAGATGTTTAATATACTGTTTGTGTTGAGTGTGAGCTTTCTTGCTTTTTCGGATAGAAAAATGGCAGGGACCCGGAAAAAATTTTCTGAAGAAGAAAAGAAAAACAGAAAAAGGGAGCTGAAAAAGTATCAAAAGCTTTCATATCCTGAGTGATGGCCCTGTTACTCAGTACAGGAATAAAACTAGGTTTCTTCTATTGGTCGAATATTTAAGCTTTGAATTGGGCGCAGAAGAAATATATTGGCATTTCAGCGAGAGTGGACACGGAAAGGGCGCTCCTGACGCCTTAAGAGGACTGCTGATCGTCACGTGGCTCTGGTAAATGATGTTTCCGATATGAGAAGCTTAATCAGCTGTTTGGAAACAAATGCTCAAGGTATAACTGTTATTCCAACCGACGACACCTTTTTGGATGAAATTGAAAAAAAAATTAATGACGCTGCAGTTGAACCTTTCCGTGGAACTTTAAAGATACATCAAATTACTTGGCACCGAGATGATCCCCGAATTTTGCATGCCAGAAGATTAAGTTGCATGGTTTGCCCATTAAATATAATATGCCCACATTTTGGAATTGGTCAAATTCAAATAAAGTCATAATTTGTACAATTTTTCACCACTGCTATGATATCTGTCAAATATTTCATCTCAGTCCAAAGTGGCGCCACTCTGGGGGCAGTAAAATTTGTAGGAGCCGTCATTGTAGGAAGCATTTGTCTTCATGATCACTCTTGGCAGGCGTATTACAAGTACATGAGCAGACGCACCTTTGACGCTGCTGCCCGTCGCTGATCTGAATACTTTTCCTCTGGATGTATATAGACGGTAGACATCTCGATGGATATTCGAGATGGTAGACTGCGATCTTTCGGAATCTATGAGATTTCCCTCGCGTTTCTCTTAGACTCATAGTACCCACCTACATGCTGACCACCTTCCTCTAGAACGTCAACGTCCTCTAGAACGTCAATATCCACGTCCACGTTCCTCTTGGCCACCGTCGATAAGTTTTTCAACATGGTAGACGCTTCAGTTACATATATCATGGTTGCAGCACGTTTGCCCATCAAATATAATATGCCCACATTTTGGAATTGGTCAAATTCAAATAAAGTCGGCAAATTATCCAGAACTATACGAGGAATCTGAACACCTGAAATGTCCTCATATTTCCAAAAAAATTTGGAGGTACGAAGATGTTTTTTCAGATTCTTCAGATGATGTTCCTCTATCAAAAATTGAAAAGCCAATTTTTTTTATAGGATCGGGTGACAAACGAGCACACAGTCCACCTGATGGTAAGTGGTTACTGTGACCCGTGTCTATGGGTCACAGTAACCACTTACCTACTGTGACATCTATCCTCAATAAAGACTCAAGATGCAGATGCGTTGTCACCTAAGATGGAATGCCTCTTTGCCAGTAAAAAGGGTCTCCGGTTCTCTACACTCACCATACGAAACAGCAGCGTTCAGCTGCTATTATACGCTGATTTTAAATATTACAAAAAAAACTTTCTGCTCTGATTCTGAATAAAAATATAAAGACCACCAAAAAGATACTTTTCTTTGTATCTTTTCGGTGGTCTCTATATTTTATTTTTTATTTGATTATTGAAAACATTTTTTTTTATAATTTAAGTATTTTTGTTCAGGAAAGTTATTATTAAGAGTTATTACAATAAATAATTAGTTAAGTTTCAAACAACTTACAAATTTTTCGCTATCTTGTTCTTTTTGGTGGTCAGCTGAGTCTCTTCGGTGGTCACAAAAAAAATGTTTTTGGTCCTAATTTCTTAAATATTTATGATCGATCTCGTTTTTGTATTAATTTAAGATAATTTTGAGATACTTTATCTAAAAAATAAAAAGAAAACTTATAAAAATAAGTTTTTTTTACCACCTTTAGTTTTCCGAAAATGACAATGACCCAGATGCAGTGTGGCTCTAAGACGTATATTCCTTCGTTCCACGTCTCACCTACCCTGTACCTTCGTTCTATTATAACAGATTATATTTTATTTATTAGGGCAACAGTAGCACAAGGCTACGCGACGTTCTGGAAGAACATCGAATCGCCGATTGTGGAAGTGGTAACTCCAAATACTGTAATCACCACCACTGAGCGAATGTCCACAACGCCTAGAACTTCACAATCACCGCCAACCATAATGGAAAGCAAGGTATGTATAGCATGGGATAATTTTACGTAAACGTAAGGTCTGAGTGCTCGCTGTATTTGAGCGTAGGACAGATCGGGGTGTGTGATTTGACAAACACAACTTTCTTATCATAATTTTATTACGGATCTCAGTATCATGAGTAGTGGCCGCTCGAATTTTAAGTCGCACACTTCATCCTGCATACTCCGCGGAATGCTTTTCAGTTAGACTTTACCCTAAATGCAATGTTTAAAACGAAACCGCTTACTAAAAAACATTTGCAACTTACATTGCGTAATTCTTGAAACTGTCGTTTGCGATAAAAAAAATAACAGGTTTGTATTATCTATTTAAATAACATTCTTAATTGGTATTTTTTATTTTAGTATTTGCACACAAATTTGCATTTTGTAAACACACTTATTTTCGAGAATTATTAATTAAATTTATATTAAAAAATTTGAACATTGCCATATTTGCGAGTAAAATAGTTTTAATTATAGAATTATGTAATTATCTATACATTTGTAATCATAGTAATGTCGATATTAAATTCGCTTAATTAATGTTTATTTTAGCCAAAACCAACAACATCGAAACCAGACGTAATATATCAAGGATGTGCGGACACAAAACTATGCTTTGGAGTTCCCCAAAACTGCATATCAAAAGGCGATTGTAAAGCAATTGTTGCCGTTTTTGTGGCCGGAGATACATATACGTTTGAAATCCAAGGCACAGATAATCCAAAATACGTCGCAGCTGGTTTAAGTAAAGATAACAAAATGGGCGAAGACAGTTCTATGGAATGTGTTAGAAATGATAATGGAAGGATTTCACTGTTCACTTCCTGGACTTATCCTAAAGCAGAGCCATACGTAAAAAGGTCTGATTCGCCTCAAGAGATTGTGCAATTACTTGAATCGTCGATTATAGACGGAAAACTTTATTGCAAGTTCAGAAGGGACGTCGTGTCGGTTGTAATGGGACAGACTTTCGATTTGGCGAACAATAAATACAATTTGATGGTCGTTTCTGGTGATAGTATGAAGGGTTAGTACTTTTTTATATTTTCACGACGTGTTACAACATCTCAACATCTCATCAATTGTGAATCTCATCTAAACACCTTTGTTTACTAAACTCTGGCGATCTACAAACGGGTGTTATCAATTTCTATTTGTTTATATATACAATTATACATACCTAAAGACTGGTGGAGTATTATTGAAAAGTCTATAATATCTAGAATTATACAAAGATCCCCAGAAATATCAGCCTATGAAGAGATTTATAATCTCATACTAATTACGAGTATGAGTAAACAATAGCCAACATTATAAAAACACAGAACTTCATCATAGTTCGTAACCACAGATTATTATAATTTTCTTTCGATTTTTTTTATAAATAACTAATATATTCCATTCTTTAAAAAGTCCACTGCTGAACATAAAACTCCGCCATAGATGGCCTCTAAGAGAGGATATATACCATCGTTACCACACTTGGCGAGATGGGAAACTGCAGTTATTAATTACTATTGGGTTGTTATCAGGAAGAAGTTACTGTTTATCTCCTGTTTCAGTTTCCCTCTGTGAACTTATGACACTCACGACACTATCGATATATATGTACTACGTACTAGATTTCGCATTCCGAACATACACTATGTTCAACTGAACTGTACTGCAATCCGTACAGTGTGTCATTTAGTGTGCTTTCAATCTACTAGTTAGTCTGTGGTTTTAATATTATATATATTCATGCAGGGTGGATTGTCGCTAATAATACAAGATTTCAAATTAAAGTTTAAATTAAAAACTGACCGCGCAGACGCAACGCGCTTAAATCAACTGCGTATGTGCGAGCGCGACTCTACTCTACTATCTCCCGCGCATGCGCGAAGACATAGAGTAGTGCACATTTTAGGTTTAGAATGGCTTCTCTAGTACGTAGTACATATAACTGCACGGGACGATATAGGGTAGTGGATATTCTTACACCGCCACTACACGGTTCATTATAAAATATTCGTTAACATAAAATTAGGTATTGGATTGTAATGCAACGCTAGCTTAGACAAAATAATGCAATGCTTCTTATTAATTATTTCAGATGCTGACCGCGTAGGTTTCCACTCACTGGCCTACGAATCAACTGGAGAACCTTTAGCTTTAGCCACGGTCGGATCAGCCGCTGGTGCTTCAAAGTTACTTCTCAAACTTCACGGTAGCTTCATGTTAATCGCTTGGCTCGGTAGTTCTTCGATTGGAATACTTTTAGCAAGGTTTGTATAAGAAAGTTGAAATATGTAAGATTTTTATGAATAGAAGAAATTATACAACAAGTTATTTAGGATGCAATTAACTGCGTACTAACAAAAATAAGTTAAAAAAGAGGCTGAACATTTAGATGAAATTTATATATTTCTACCCTCGATGAAATGAAGTAAAGTTACAACTTATTTTAACGTGGTAGAGCCATGCTGCAGCTATATTACTGGTATAGCTGTAGCACGAATAGGTCGCCTCGACCGGGGAAAACCACACTCTCACAGAATACAAGCGTAAAATAGCAGCTTAACACTGCTGTGTTTCGTATGGTGAGTGTAGAGAACCGGAGACCCTTTTTACTGGAAACGAAGCATTCCTTTTTAGTCCTCACGGGTGACAACGCATCTGCATTTTGATTCTTTATTGAGGATAGATGTCGATGTCTATGGGTCACAGCAACCACTTACCATCAGGTGAACTGTGTGCTCGTTTGTCACGCTATCCTATAAAAAAAAAGAAACTATACAACAACTGATTTAGGATGCAACTAACTGAGTACTAACAAAAATAAGTTAAAGAAGAGGCTGAACATTTAGACGAAATTTATATATTTCTACCCTCGATAAAATGAAGTAAAGTTAAAACTTATATATGTCCCAACTGCCTCTTTGGCCTAGTGATCGTAAACGCGGTTGCTGATAATGAGGTTCGAATTTCGGGTTCGGCCGAAGTCGGCTATTGGATCAAAAAATACTCAGTAAGCAATCCGGAGTCAGGAATTTGGCGGTTTTTCAACCACTTGTCTCGGCAAGCACGTAAAGCTGTTGGGCCTGCGCCTCATCTCCCTCCGTTCATGTCGGATTAACGTCCCATCAAACTATGAGAATGAGGGAATAGAGACTGCACCTGTGTTTGCGCATACACTTGGACATTGTAGCCCTGATGGATATCTTCCGTCGAGACAGGCCGCTGAAATTCGGTCTGGAGAACATTAATATTACTATTATATATGTTCCACTGCTGGGCTTGTGCCAGTATTGTATATTTGTATATTAGTACCAATTGAAAGGTTGGCAGCCCGCTCTCGTCGTTAATTCGGCTGAAATGGACCAACTGATAGATCTTCCTTCGGCTGGTTTCTTAATCCGAAACTCTAATCACATCACGTTGGGTTCGGGCGCAACGAGGTGGATGTGACCCCGGTGAAGGAGTGTCACACGAGAGCATCGGTCGCACTTTCCTAAAAGAAAGGTTAGACGACTAAGATATCGGGTCCTCTTGAAGTGGTCCCGGTCCCGTCGTCCCTTTATATTGTGGACTGTATTCAATAGGTAGTGGAAGATCCTTTAGGAATAAAACAACAATTATCTTCAAAATTTGCCAATGAGAGTACAATTGATTACTTTCACTTTTCCTATCACTTCCCTATGCGCTTTTCTTTCTTGATTTAAATATTAACTGTCCCGAACTACCAATACTCCATATATTTCTGAACTTTTTAGGGCATTTAAAGTCCGCCACGCTGTCCCTTTCCGTGTTAGCGACTTCCTGGCTATCGTTGGGGATTGAACCCTACTTAAGTACTGTGAAATTCACAGCCAGAGCTAAGCCTCGGTGCTACCACAGCTACTGCTATTGAATAATTTAATTTGAAAATATTACTGTTAACCATTTGGTCTACATAATGCGCTAAATGGATTTCAAAAGATTTTCTTTTAAATTAGTTAAATCTCCTTAGCCAAAGTTTGTTTTTAGGAACTGCCCTTTAGCCATAAGTTCGACTAATTTTCACAGTATTTAAAGTCACATCACATCATTTTATCTTTATTCTATGTGTATTTTATACGATGTGTACCAATAAAATTGAACTCACAATTGTAGTCCAAAGCTTCCGTATTAATTATTATCGGCAGTATGCAAACTGTACAAAATCAGTGCAATATTAGAGACATGAGGATAATTTTGCCGTAGTAGTATGCGGAATGCACCTCTCCCATGGAAGAGAGGACGTAATCACCACACTTGGAAGGTGTTTTATTATATATCGCAGTACTAAAGGTTTCACGTTTTCTACGAGTCTGCTATTATTATACCACTATTTATCAGAGGTCATATAATATTCTACATTTTTCATAATTGACGTTTTGGACAATTTTACATCCACTAAACGAAGTAGAAGTGCTGTGGTTGATTCCGTTTGTCAACACCATACACTGAGAACTTAAGATAATGGAACCTGACTTACATGTATATATAATATACTTTGGGGCTATGGGTCGCAGGTTTGTTTCCTTCACATTAATAGCACTGGTACAAATAGTATGGTAATAGTATGGTACAAATAATTGTTCCAGTTTTGAGTATTTTTATTCATGTATAGGAGAAATTCATGTGCGGTATTTTTTTTTATTGAGAGGATAATAATACATCAAATACGCATCTACTTCTTTTATAATTTAATAAGATTTGTTTTTTATTTCAGGTACTTCAGACAGACCTGGGTAGGAAGACAATTGGCTGGCAAAGACATTTGGTTCGCCGTAAGTTTTATATTTTATCAAAATACTAGCGATCCACCCCGGCTTCGCATGTGTGATTACTGGATCTCGACAACAGTGCCACCTACCTGGTCCAAATGTGAATTTAAACCATCTAGGAGCCATTTCACACACAAAAAATTTCATCAAAATCAGTCTATCCGCACTTGATTTTTATATATGAAGATGATGATCATTTCCTCCCAGACAATTAATCGACCACGGTTACAAGTTTCGAAAAATTGAAAGCTATCAACATATGATAAAATTCGTAAGGAGGATATCCGCGATTTCATCTTAGGAAATCCACAGAAAAAAAAGAGTAACTGCTATAGCCCAGCGGATTAGTGGGCTGAAGTGGCAATGGGCTGGCCAGGGGAATAAAGTAGCAGCTTTGAACTGATCGATGTATACCGATGGCTCAAAGCCGTGCTTTGTTATAAATGATGAGAAGGGGCTTACGTTCGTATGTGGGTTGTGATGATGATGATCAACTGCTCAGGATGAAGTACTGTTTTTAATGGAATAGTAGTTATATTTCTCTCAATATTATTTACTGATATTACTTACTTTACTCTATAATGTAGCTTAATTTTACCTAATATTTCAGTACCACAGAATTCTTATGGTCATCACTTGGCTGCTCACCATCATCGGATTCATCATAATCTTGATAGAAGTAGGTGGCTGGTCCACCACAGGGGACAACCCTCACGCGATAACTGGAATCGTCACAGTCATACTTTGCTTTATACAGCCAATAGGTAAGTTTTATTTATTTCTTACAATAAAAAATGTATTACTTGTAGTTTCTTTTAGCCATATTGAATTTGATCTCCGAGGCTCCGACAGCGTGAAAACAGAAATATTATCGGACGCCATAATATTACAATGGTATTTATAATAGTCGCTTTTAACGTCACCCACCACGGGAGTAAATGTAGTGGTGGTTTGATTAAGGCTGCCGTTCATAGTATGCTCGAATATCCGTAATATATGAATATTTTAATTAAAAACCGCGTATCAAAGTGTTAGCGTACCTGGATACCACACCGTGGATTCGGGATTCAAATCCCAGTCATTTGTACAAAATGGTAATAACTGAAACTTAGTTATATTATCAGTATTATATCCAGTACGGGGATGTTAGCACATATGGGTGCTTTTTTTAAAGAAAGAAGGGGGACAATCGAGCATCCAGTCCACCTGATGGTAAGTCAATGGTCCAAAGACCCCCACATCTATTCTCGATTAACAATCAAAATTTAGATGTATTGTGACCTCTGAGGACTAAGATAGAATGCCATGTTAGCAGTAAAAAGGTTCTTCGATTCTCTATACTCACCATACGAAACACAGCAGCATTGAGCCTCTACTTTGCGCTGGTGTTCTGTGACAGCGCGGTCCTTCCCCAGTCGAGCCGATCTATTCGTGCTGCAACTGTAATATATAACTGCAGTGTGATTCTATCACATTAAAATTAATAACATTGACCTTGCTTGTTACGCCTGCATATTATAGCACGAAGAAACATATTTATGAATATCTTTCTAATGTGTTTTGCAGGTGCCTACTTCAGACCCCATCCGGGCACCAAGAAGCGTCCAATATTCAACTGGCTGCATTGGTTCTTTGGCAACGCTGCGCACATTCTCGGAAGTAAGTACTATCATCAATAATTAGCACCTTAGAATTCCGCTGTCAAGAGCAAAGAACTTAACTTGTAATAATTTCGGTCGGTCCATTTTTTTTATAGGATAAGGGTGACAAACGGGTACATAGTCCACCTGATAGTAAGTGGTTGCTGTGGCCCATAGACATTTACAGATGTAAATGTCTATCCTCGATTACGAATCCAAATGCAGATGCGTTGTCAACCGTGAGGACTAAGATGGAATGCCTCGTTTCCAATAAAATGGTCTTCGGTTCTCTACACTCACCATATGAAACACAGTAGCGTTAAGCTGCTATTTTACGCTGGTATTCTGTGAGAGCGTGGTCCTTGCCCGGTCAAGCCGACCTATTCGTGCTACAGCTATACCAGTAATATAGCTGCAGCATGGCTCTACCACGTAATTTTTTTAATGTACGGGGCTTATACGTGGATTATAACTAATATCGCTGTTGGTCGATATACGACAGAATACAGTCATAAGCACGATTTAAATGCTTACACACTTTATCAAATGCAATACGCACATTTTTATTAGGTACTTATTACCCTGAGATATACCTAATATGGAATAATGACCAGTAAAAAGAATCTTCAGTTCTCGTCAATCTCCATACAAACCACAGCAGTATTGTAATGCTATTTTACACTGATATTCTGTACGGGCGTATTCCGTTCCCAGTCGAGTGGACCAATTGGTTCTGCACAGAGGCGTAGTCTGGACTAATATAGACGTGGGCGAAGTCGCAATAGCGAGGCCACTCTTCTTTCGTTCCCAAGATTTATCCAATAGATCTCCTATATCATTTATATCCAATAGATCCTACCAAACATGCTTTGACACGACATACCGACTCATAGCTATTAATTCCTGACAAGTCTCGTATTCCGTCAATCTAGCGGTCGCGGTCTTTGAAGGTAGTTTTACAATGCCCTCCCAGTCGCACTTAAGGCTTCTTGCGAGGCCCCAAACAAATACGCTTTTAAATTGGTAAGTAAAAAGCGTAAAAGTGATCAAATGAATTAGTCATCTGTGGTGAAGTCTGGAGGCATTGCCCACTTCGCCCTAGCTACGCCACTGGTTCTAAACCCATAATACGTTGCAGCCAGGATCCACCAACTACTAAGCAATAACGTTTCTATATATTTTTGTATTAACATGCGGTCAACTTCAAACAAATACGGTTACAGAAGCGTTGTCTCCTCTGAGGATTAAGATGGAATGCCTCATTACCTGAACCTGTAATTATACTGGCTCTGTATCCCCTTTATATCGAAACAGCCGGCAGAAATACGAGTAGATTGATACCTACCGATACCGACAGATGTTCTGACAATTCCAGCCTCTCAATTTCACCGTCGCACATTGCGACAAAACTCGCGATACCATCCATACCATCTGGATGATTGGCGATCCACCACTGTGCGATTTAGAAGAAGTTTTCTTCCTCGCACAACTTCCTTGTGGAATCGATTGCCACCAGTGATTTTACCTGACCGATACAACTTAGGGACCTTCAGGAAAAGCGCTTACTCCTTTGTAAAAGGCCGGCAACGCATCTGCAATGCCCTTGGTGTTGCAGTTGTTCATGGGCGGCAGTAGTCACTTACCATCAGTTTGCCGCTCTCCTATAAAAAATAAATAAAAAAAAAGATCGACTTCTGGGCAGAGAAGGAGTCTTACCACCTGGTAAAGTTTCGTTGTATTGTATAAATGTGTCAATATCGTATACATAAGCTTTTAAAATAGTATATCATATATACGCTTTTAAAAACTTATGTATGATATATGTACCTATGTATGAATGTATGTGTCAGAAAAATTATAATGGTATTAAAATTAGAATGTAAATTTAACTATAACTAATGTATTTTTTTTTCTTTTCAGTTGTCACCATATTCCTTGCGATATACCTACAGAAAGCAGAATTACCTATATGGAGTGTGTACGTCATGGCGGCGTTTGTCGCATTTCACGTTATAGTTCATATTATACTGTCGGTGAGTCCCTACTCCCTTATAATATTTTTTTTTTAGTAAAGCCGTGTTGCCGCTACGTTATGGTTGTAGCACGAAAGAGTTTGCTCGACTGGAGAAAGACCACGCTCACACAGAATACCAGCGTAAAATAGCAACTTAACGCTGCCGTTTTACGTATGATGAGTGTAGAGAATCTGACACAATTTTTATTGGAAACGGGGCATTCCATCTTAGTACACAGGGTGACAACGCATCTGTATTTTGATTCTTAATCGAAAATAGATGTAGGCGGCTATGGGTCACAACATCACCTTACCATCCAGTGGGCTATATGCTGGTTAGTTACCCTTGGGTCACAACATCACCTTACCATCCGGTGGGCTATATGCTAGTTAGTTACCCTTAATCCATAAAAAAAACACAAATCCTGTGTTCAATTCCCAGCTGAATTCACATTTAAATAAAAACAAAAACGGTTGTTTTTCATTTTTGGATGTGGTGTGATTATGCTAGTCAAAGTAATCACCCATGCAATCGATGCATCTTTGTCAACGCAGTTTCAGTTTATTGATGCCCTTCTTGAATAAATCAGCTGGACGGGAGACTACAACTTCTTCAAAGGCATTTTGTACTGCCTCTCGGGGATTGAGTTTTTTTCCCGCCAAAAAGTTATCCAAATTCTGTAAAAAGTAGAAGTCTGTAGGCGCAAGGTCAGGTGAGTACGGTGAATGACGGAGAGCTTCCAACTCCAGCTCTTGTAGCTTAGAAACCGTCTGTTGTGTAGTATAAGGTCGCACGTTGTCGTACAGGAGCAGCGGATACGAGCGAATGATCAAAGCTGGTTGAAGACGTGCGAGCTTCTCCATCATTGTGTTCAGTTATTCACAGTACACATCTGCAGTCATGCTAGACCACCAAACAGTGACCATCACTTTCCTAGGGGTAAATTTTCGTATAGGGCATTGTTTAGGTGCTGCACCAGGATCCAGCTAACTTTCTGAGCGCTTGCCAATGTATAAATCCATTTTTCGTCGCAGGTAACAATGCGGTTCAAAATTCCTTCGTTTGTATGCCTGTTGAGCAGTGCAAAGCACGTCTCGACACGTACTTCCCGCTGGCGATCATTTAGTTCGTGGAGCATCCATTTGTCAAGCATTTTTAACTTGCCAATTTGACGTCAATGGACCATTATTGTTTTGATTCTAACGTTGAAATCTGCTGCTAATTCAGCCGTAGATTGAGTATCATCAGCGTCCACAATCGCCTTTAATTCGTTTTTGTCGACCAAAGTTTTCGGACGACTACGGTGTTCATTTTTCAGGTCGAAATTTCCAGAACGGAAGCAGGCTACCCAACAACAGGTGGTGCGTTCATTTGTAGTATTCGCTCCGTAAATGTCATTGATGCTGCGTGCCGTTTGGGCCGCAATGCTGCCACGACGGTACTCATATTCCATAATTACTCGAATTTTTAACGTATCCATGATGACGAAACGATTCAAATGCGAAGAAAACATAACGCTAATTACTAAACAAATCACTAATTTTGAAAAATAATTCTATGTTTTTAAAATAAAATTAATTTGAAATTAGAATTCATAGCCAAACAAAAATTTATAAACCTATTTTAAATGCGCCAGTTGGAATGCGTTATTTAAAAACGCACGAAGAATTGCCTGATCTAGATATTATCTTTCACGATTCTTTTCATACTTTTACGAGCGAAATTGTTAAAGTTTCTTTAGTGTCTTCGTGCTATTACTGTCCTAAAGTTGACTGGATAAAAATACTTTTAGCATTCAGTCCACCTTTTAATCCTGTACAGTATATTATGTAAGGTTCTGTTAGCGTTATAGCCTATTAAAGTCTACTGCTGAACATAGGCCTCCCCCATAGATTGCCTCATAGGGGGGATATTTGATATAGTTGCCACGCTAGGCAAGCGGGTTGGCAACAGCAGTTGAATCCGTAAAATTTGTTTAATTTATTTCGCGTAAATATAAGAATTCATTAACCGCGGTGCTTTTATTTTAAGTCGTTATTAGGAAGACGAAGAAATTTGGATTCAGTGGATAGGTTAGAATTGGTTTTCCATCAACAGACAATCTCTAGAGTACGTAAGAAATTTGTAAGAAAAATAAATATATATTTTTATTTGTTAGTTGACGTTGTGCGTGTCTGAAGGCCGAATAAGCAATGGTCGAGTCAACTCATTCCCCATGAAGGATATGATGGGGCAACCGAGGCAGATGTCTCATGTCGATCGCAGCACTGACGCTCCTGTAAGTATTTTTAATGATTTGTTTATCTTTTGTTTTTTAGCATCCATAAAAGACAAAACTTTTTAATTATTAATATCGTATTCTATGTTCTATATCCTCATGAAATTTATGCACTATAATTAATTTGAGATCCATGTTATGTTGCTAATCAACTAAAAATTTTAATTCCTGTTGGTACAGCAATAATTATAGTTGCAGAAGTAAAATAAGCTCGAGTATCAATATCTATTCCTACTGTAAATATATGATGATCACAAACAATAAATCCAAATTAACCAATTGCTATTATAGCATAATTTGTTTCTAAACATCCAAAAGTTTCTTTTTTACACTTTCTTGTGAAATAATATGAGAGATTCCAAAACCAGGTAAAATTAAAATATAAACATCTGGGTGAACAAAAAATCAAAATAAATGTTGATATAACATAGGATCTCCTCCTCCTGCTGTGTCTTACGGATCATCATATTCCTGCTGGGATCAAGAAAAAGAATATTAATGTTACATTACATTGATATTAGATACATCTGATTTTGGAATATATAATACTGTAATATTTCACCCACACACTCACTACAGCCCATGTCATATTTATTTTTTTATTTAATAGATTATACCTCAGAGGTAGTCCTACATAAGCTGAAAGACGGCATATGACAACGTTCTATTTGCTACCTTGAGCTTGTGATAATCATTAGTCTACTCAAACGCGTAAAAAAACCTTATGAAAGAATAATATACTCGTATTTTCCACATAACTTACAAAAGGAATAATATATTTTCCACATAACTTACAAAAAGAATAATATATTTTCTACGTAATTTATGAAAAGAATACTTTCCACATAACTGGACTGGGGCTTTATTTTTTATATAACCTATTTCTTAGCGACTGCAGAAGCTATTATATCTGTTCATACGCTTTTTCTGTTTCATACGAGTTTAATTTTTTTTTTAGACCGCAATCGTAACATCTGTTAACGACTTGGTTGTAATACAGCCAGTATCATTATAATCGTTATAATAATATTTGTTTTATTTTTCAGTTCTCCACTTTCAGAAGACACATGCTGAGTATCTACGTGCCGATTATATTGATATTCGTTATTGCAATGATTTGCCTTGTCGCGTTAGCTCCTATAGCAGAAACTTACAACAGTATTGCAGGTGTTTGAATTAAAGATGAAGGTGTGAGGTTAATATCCCCAAAAACTGGAGGAAGTCCCCCATTTCATTTTAAGTTACGCAAAATAAAAAATAATTTTCAGTCATAGACTATACACCTAGAGTGATTGCATAGATAGCAAAGTGTAAACATTTGAATGTTAACAAGAATTGAAATTGCCTAACATATCATTCGCGTTCGGAGAAGCGTTTCGGAGATTCGTCAATGTATGTGACATTGACGAAGCTCCGAAACGCTTCTCCTGAAACATTTTACTTATGATAATTTAAATACGTATTTAAGACCTTTAGATATGTTACTCGTGTCCCGAAATTGAGAACCAAAGACGTACTAATCTAATTTAGTACGTTTTTAACCGACTGCAAAAAGGAGGAGGTTCTCAATTTGAGTGTATGCTTTTTTTTGTATGTATGTTACGCGATATCTTCACAGATTGTGAATTAATTTTGATAATTCTTTTTTTTAAATATGTTATAGTTCAAGGATGGTCCCATATAAATTTGGAGAAAAATTCCGCCCCTAAATTTAGTAAAGAAATAACTTCTTTTTTAGCAATTTAACGTCGGTTTTTACTTTTTGCTAAAAGTTATAATTATTCACGTTTAATAGCACTAAATTGCAATAATGATTTAAGTAAATATTAACAAAGCGCAATCTGAGCGTTTTATATAGATCGTAGATGTATTAAATTTTAGCATTAAGAGGATTTCCGAGCTGAAATAAGTTTAACCAGCTATTGGTGTCGCGATATGTATGTAGCGCTAAATACAGCTCAGGCTGATTATTCCTATAAAAATTTATGAAATCATCACCCGTATCATATATACTTGATCTAGATTTGGAGGAGAAAACAGGTGAACTGTTGCAATGGTAGATATAAACTGTACGCAAAAAAAAATATTTGCTCTGATGTAATATCTAGACAGAAAACAGAGGAAAACGTTTGTATGGACCGGATATCCTCACAAAAGATAATTTAAAATAGTTTGTATGTACTCTAGTCCATAAAAATGTTGTGTCCGGGTGAAATCTTATTTATACTAGTTCGTTGTTCAAATAAAGCTTTATACATACCTCACATAAACATTACATATTGACATAATCTGTTATTAAATTTGGTGCAAAATGGATATGGATATAATAACTGTATAACACAAGTTGTAAACATAATTTGTACCTAATATATTATGTAAGGAATTAGTGTAGAATTATATTTTTTTATTATTTATTTTGTGAAACACTTAATTAAAATAAGGAATATTATACGTAAATAACTAATTCACGGTACTCTCTTTTTAATGACAAGTTTAGGTACTAATTTAACTTCTGAATCTTAACAAGACAATGTAAATATAGAAAGTAATAAATCTCGATTTAATAAAATGCCTTTTATTTATATCTCTAGTGTTAAAGTGTGGGAGACAAAAGTAGGCAATTTCTGTAAATTTTATCCCATTTTACAAGCTTTTATCTGTGTTAGTCTTTGTGACCTCATTATTATATATATACGGAATACAGAATAGTTCACGCGGCGGACTAAAATCCGATGGCACGCAAGGATAGCACTTCATAGGCGCCCCTCTAGCGGTTATCTGCCGACTTCCAAAAAGGAGACGGTACTCAATTCGACTGTATGTTTTTTTTATGTGTGTTACCTCATAACTTTTTACTGGTTGAACCGATTTCGATGATTCTTTTTTTATTTGAAAGCTGGTACTTCTCGTGTGGTCCCATGTCAATTCGATCAAGGTCAGACCAATAGTTTTTGAGTTATTCATAATAACTTATATTGAAGTCGGCTGTACAAAATTTTTAATTTTAAATTATTTAACTAGCAATGTAACTATTATATGTTTGTTCGGGTGGAATATTGCAACTCAATTTTGAAGCAGATATCTTCAATCATTTGAGGTGAAATTTTGTATACACGTTAAGTTTGGATGGCAATGCATGGTTAACTGTGTGACGTCATTCTAAATCCAACATGGCGGAACACCCAAGATGGCGGACTAGTTATTTTTAATGCACTCCTACAATATGGGTATCAAATGAAAGGGCTTGCTTAGTGTAACTCGAAAAATAAAATCATGTCACTCTTAATCCAATATGGCGAACTTCTAAAGATGGCGGACTAAGTTTTTTATACTTTCCTACAATATGGGTATCAAATGAAAGGGCTTGCTGAGAATACGAATGCGAGTTAACTAAAAATAAGATGGTGATCATAAACTCGGTTGCTCCAATCCGTTCGAAACTTTGGTGTACTGGGGTTTTTGCAAAGCTCGATAATGATATTGAGGTCGAATTATTCGAGTCTGTAGCATCGGTTGGTTAATTTTGACTTGTGTAATTTTGCGAGATAGACGTCAACAGCATTGGTTTGCAACCTGTCTAGGAGAAGGGTAACTCCTAAATCAAACCTGGAACTGTGTTTCGTAAGGCACAAGTAAGCTTCAAGCTGAAAAAAGTAGTATTCCTCCAAATACTCGAGTCAAGGTGAGGCCGTGCCGAGGACTGAGTGGCATCAGGGTGTAGCATGATGTCAATCCGTCTAAAATGTTGGTGTACTGTGGTTTTGGCACACTGAACCTAAACGTTAAGTTTGAGAGGTCACGTATAATGAAGTCAACGCTCCGTCCCCCTCGCTCTAATCCAAAGTCCAAACCTTTCAGCTCGAGTTACAAAACCGTTTTCAGTGCCTAGAAGATTGCAATGCAGTGGAAGATATGACTATACTACTAATATAGCTGCAGCATGCAGCATCTACCACGTAAAAACGATGTTTTGATTCACCGTTGAACACGTGGTAAATATACACCAAAAATTACAATAATTAATATTTTCATTGTAACTGGCGGGGATCGGGCTAAAGGTTAGCAAGCGCTTAAATTCACGTAAAACACGTTACTAGTAGGGGAGCCCCATTTATTTTTTAATTTATTTTTATTATTAGTTGTTAAAGCGGCAACAGAAATACACATTCTGTGAAAATTTCAACTGTCTACCTACTACGGATCATGTGATACAGCCCGCTGACAGACGGACTACCGCTGAGAGAGGGTTCCGTTGGTTACCCTTCGGGTACGGAACCCTAAAAAGAACTCTCCAGAGCAAAAGTGCCTACCAAACATTTTAATTTCTGATAGTTTTTAAGCGCAGAATACGAATATTTACTTTCCCAATATATCTTTGTAGGTAGCATTTGAGAAAACACACTTTCATGGAGCACACACAGATGAATTAAGTTGGCTTCGCAGTGTACAGCTCCATGGAACAAATAACAAAACAGGTATTTTTGCCTTCTCAACCAAGTCATATTATCGAAAGATCAACCTAAACAACCTCATCTTTATTAATATATTAATATAATTATTCTGTCTATGTGTATGTGACTAAACTCGTCCTAAATGGCTGAACCGGTTTTGATGAAATTTTGCGTGTAATTAAGTTGATTAGAGAATGGTTTAGATTCACAATTGGACTCGTGGTTATAGTTATCGAGGTCCAGAAATCACCCGTGGGAAGTCGGGGCGGATCGCTAGTGACCTTATAAAATAAAGTAAGAGTTATACCACGATTAACGACCAAGTTGATCTGCTGATAACAGTCAGATTCGTAGTCAGAAACCAGAAAGGACGCCAGGGACTATACAGTGTATTATTTAATCGGTAAGATAAAATCTATAACAATCGACACGAAAGGAACACAAGAATAGAAGCCCAATGACGACAATCTACGACTCGTTTATGCCATTGAATTTTTGATGTCTGAAACGTTTGAACATAATTTTAGTAGTTTTTGTCTGTGACAAACACTCGATGGAAGCACCAACATTGTCTTTATAGCCATAGATCTGCAATTTTGGGTCGAATGGGTTGCCTCGGCCGGGGAAGGACCACGCTCTCACAGAATACCACCGTAAAATAGCAGCTTAACAGTGCTGTGTTCCGTATGGTGAGGAGTGTATAGAACCGGAGACCCTTTTTACTGTAAAAGTGGCATTCTATCTTAGTCCTTAGTAGAGGACTAAGATGGAATGCCACTTTTCTACAGTTTGATTCTTTATTGAGGATAGATGTAGATGTCTATGGGTCACAGCAACCACTTACCATCAGGTGGGCTGTGTGCTCGTTTGTCACCCTATTCAATAAAAAAATTGGCTAGGATGGTGGCGCCCAATAAGTAAATCGTGTTCGAACAGTTGATTGCTGGAGACAGAGTAGTCGATCACAAAAAATTGTTATAGAATAGCTATGGTATATGGTATCCGGGACGTTGCTGCCGCAAAAGAAATAATTGTGAAAGTATTGTTTTAAATTTGGAAGAGCTATATTGTTTAATTGGGAATGATAATATATTCATTGAAATGAAATGAAATATATTGTCCGTATCATAGGCGCGCCACCTACTGTAGGTTAATTGTACTACGCCTATAACCAAGTGCAAACAACAATTTGACAAAGTTTTACCGCAATCTGATAACTGGTATGGCAGCGCATAATATACAAAGAAACAAACATAAACTATATATATAGATCATACCACGACTCAGATCCGATCAGACTATCTGAGAGTCAAAAGATAAAGATAAAGATAAAGATACATTTATTGCATAACTGTGTACAATATGATCTTAATAGAAAAACATATAGTTTTAGTCTCAACAGTCTACCCATGTCGGATATGCAACAATGAAAAATAAATTTAAAATTAACTACTTACTACATTACTTTTACTAAAATACTCATTGAGATTGTAAAAAACATTTTCAATTAACAATTTCCTTAATTTTGTTTTGAACATATTTCCATTTAATTGCTTAATAGCTAGTGGTAACTGATTGTATACACGGATAGCAGTAATATAGGTACTTTTATAATAGATCATATTTCTAATAATAGGTAAGTTTATATCATATTTATATTTTTCACGATGGTTTTTCTTTAAATCAGATTTCAAATTAAAATATTGCATGTTGTTTTTTACAAA